GGTGTTTTATGATGGGGAGTGTGTATCTGTGTATGTGTGTGCGCGCACACATGGTGTGTGTGTGTGTGTGTGTGTGTGTGTGTGTGTGTGAGGGAGAGGGAGAGACCAGATGAGTTCTTTGATATGATCAGCAGCCAAATAAGCTCAACAACTCGCTCCACTATGGTGCAACTGCTTGCCAGAGGCAAGCCTCACAGATATGCAGTTGGAAACCCTTTGCACTATCTACCTCATAACAAAATTTTGAGATACTAGCAAAATGCCTGGCAGGACAACAGGTAGGGTACTTCATCTCATGTGGATCTCTTTGTGTTTGTGTGGTGGGAAACCCCCCTCAGTGGCTGCCATATTATCCATCCTCACTGCAGCACTTTCGCCGCCCCAGGAGTGAATGGCAGCATTCACTTACATGGGAGCAATAAAAGAGGGCCGACATTGTCATAAGAGGCTGGGGCCTAGCCACTAAGAATCAAGCTTCCTCTAGATCTGTATAGCCTAGTTTCTTTTTTGTGGTCACTCCAGAGCAAGGGTCAGCAAACTTTTTCAGCAGGGGGCCGGTCCACTGTCCCTCAGACCTTGTGGGGGGGGCGGACTATATTTTTTTGGGGGGGGGGATGAACAAATTCCTATGCCCCACAAATTACCCAGAGATGCATTTTTAATAAAAGCACACATTCTACTCATGTAAAAACACGCTGATTCCCGGACCGCCCGCAGGCCGGATTTAGAAGGCGATTGGGCCAGATCTGGCCCCCAGGCCTTAGGCTGCCTACCCATGCTCTGTGGTAGAATGTTCGAAACAGGCAAAACTACCTCATGGATACTAGCCAATAGAACCTGAATGAAGACAATGGGTGAAAAAGAGGTAAGCCAAAGGTAACAGAGCAGAAAAAGCAGATACAAGAGGACGTCTCTCACACAATTCAAAGGCTGCTTCAGATGGGGCATCCCAGACCGAAACGGCCTGAACAGGAAAATGCATGGGAGTCTCTGGTGCAACAATTAGGATTACGCATGAGGCGACTCTGCAATTTAACATATGCTCCTGGCAAAATTACAAGACGTACTCCCACTTCCATAAGGAAGCCTGCCTTACAACCTTTAGAACCCAAGTTTTGCACTAATCACAGACCATGCAGGTCTTCTGCACTTGCAGGAGTACAGAAAACTGGATATTTCAAGAGTTCTACAGCAGACAGTTTTCTGTGTTGGCAACAGACTGGAGGATCAGAAACTCCCAAATGCACCCCCTCTACGATTATGCGACACAGCAAAATCCCATGGCCACAAACTATGCAGTTACTGTGTAGTCCAATACACCAGGGATAGAGTACCCTGGTGTTCTCCAGATGCTGCTGAATACACCTCCATCATCTTTGACCACTGGTCCCTGCTGGTTGTAGCTAATCTGCAGGGGCAGGACACAGACTTCCCATCCCTGCCATACACCTTGCAGGTGGTGCACAGGCTGAAGAGCTGTGGATGACGTTCCATCAAGTCCCTCAAAGTTTGCTATGTGAAGGCACTTCCAGTTCTTACGAACAATACACTGGCATCAGTAGTCCACACTTCTGTGAAACAGGTGGGTGGTGGAAGACTAGACTGTGCCATGGGCAGACTCTGCGTGGCCTGTAGGTATCAGAAGCACTAGGAGAGAGAGAATCTGATCCTGCAAAAGAGACACATGCAGATTTGTCTCCAGTTGGTGTGGCTGCCACATTGGGTGAGCTGATTGTCCAGCTCAGCCAAGCAAAATGAGTTCTTCTTCATTAAGAACGCAAAAGAAGTGGAAAGGCTCATTCTCACAACAGAGTTAGCTCCCTGGGAAGCAGCATCCCAGGTGGCACCGTGTCAGCCGGCATCTCGGGTCTACCGAGGGCCAAAGACCACAGTAATTTCTGGCTGGGGCCAGTGGACATCTCCCAGACTCATCAAGAGACATGGAAGAGGAGGAAGAGAGATCCCAGGGCAGATCATATGGGGGTTTGTTCCCTTTGTGCTTGTTTGTCAGCCTGAGCTTGGAGTGACCTTGAAATTTAGGCAGTGAAATAACCAGCTAAAATAAACCAGGAGGAGGCGAAGAGCCTGGCTTTAAAACCCACTAGCAGTTGCAGAGGGCACTGAGAGAGCTATGGGGGGGTGGGAAGCCCTGAATTTTGACCTAGCTCCCCTGATGTGGGGAACAGAGGGAAGTTTCGGTGTCGTGGCCTCTGCTACAGAGCTATCTGAAAGCATGCCCCGTGCTTTCACCTGGCTTTTGAAATTCTGAAGCCCTTTCAGTTCAGCAAGGCCTGAACCTCTATGAACCTCTGTTCAGTTCCAGGTCACGGACAGTTCTTTGCCCACATAACATTGCTCATCCGGTTATTGCTTCTTTACTTGCTTCAGTCCTGGATTTGTTTACACATTTGCTCACCCCAGTGTGAGTCTTACAACTTGAAGCAGGCACTTGGAAACATCTGCGCTTACTGGCTTTCACCTATATTTCAAGAGATTTAGGCTACCTACCTCTGGGAGCTTTGCTTAATAAATAATAATAATAATAATAATAAATTTTATTTATATCCCGCCCTCCCCAGCCGAAGCTGGGCTCAGGGCAGCTAACAACAATCAAAATAATCCAGCATTCTAAAAACATTCATTATAAAATTAATTAAATATCAAATTGATGGCAACCATTAAGCAAAATTCTGTGCAGATTGCCAGAGGAGGGGGTCAGGCTGCGCCCTGACCAAAGGCCTGGTGGAACAGCTCTGTCTTGCAGGCCCTGCGGAAAGATGTCAGGTCCCGCAGGGCCCTAGTCTCTTGTGACAGAGCGTTTCACCAGATTGGAGCCGCGGTCGAGAAAGCCCTGGCTCTATGTTTGCTCCTGGATAAAAACTGTTAACAGTTTAACATCACCGGCTCTTACTCGCTACTCCATCTTGCGACACTTGGGTAAGAAAAAGCAGCCCAGTGCATTAAACGAAGACACCTTAAATAGCAAAACTCACTGGCTTGGGCAAAAAGGGGCGTGCTCCTCTGTGTATTTTGTTCCCTTTACTTTGGGATAACTGACCAGAAATTGAGCTTTAAAAAAACACCAAATTTTTAAAAATCACTGAGGAGCATATCAGAACCTTCCAGCTGCTGCCACAAGGGCAACAAACGCTTGACAAAAGATTCCTCAGGGTTTCTTTCAGAACACCCAGTTCTCAGTCTTGCTTCCTCAGTTTATTTTATTTTACTTGTTATTATTTAGAAAGCAGATGCCAGGAGACCAGGCCCAGACTGAAGAGCAAGGACGTAGAATGGATCCATGGCTCACGACCAAGGGGCCTACGTGTCAGTAAGCAATCCCTGGAATTTCTTTACAACCAGCAGTTGGGGTTCAGGCATGGTCTAGGAGGCCAGAGGATGTAAGGTCTCCCTGTTGAGCTGGAAACAAGAGAGGTCTGTGGCTCCTTGTTCCCGATTCCATTCCTGCCCTCCTCGCTGCCTGCACTTCTTTTGCTACTGACGGCGGATTGTTTCCCAACCTTACTTTTGGATCATGTTTGGGACCCTCTGTGTTTGACCCTGGCTTTTTTGAGACTATGCTGCACCTCAAACCCTGCTTGGGTAAGCGCTTGGATAAATGTGTTTTACCTCCTTAGGCTGAGATCCTGGCTCCTGAGGGCAGCCCTTGGAGCATAACAGTGGCGTATTAGTGCCAGGGGATACCAGGGTTTGGACATTTATGGGGCAGGGTAGTCAGAGTCCTAGTCTGTTAGGTAACAGGTTGGAAGGGCAACAGGTTCAACCGTCAAATGTTGTCCCAGGAAGTTTTAAACTACTAAGCAAATAGGATAAGGTTTCTTCTTGGCACCTTAGCACATTCTCTGGTCACCTGACATTAACAGCCTTACCTCTCTCTTAGCAATGAACTGACAACAGTTAACTTATGTCTCTACAGGCCGGCCTTCTGCATTCATTTATATTTAGCATGACCTACAGCTGAACTTTTATTCCTAGCACTGCCAGAAGTCTTTATAAAATATATATGTAAAGATAATTATCTTGGGGGACTAGGTTTTTTTAAAAAAACACAACGGAAAGAGCTAAAAGCTGTTATTACCTTTGCTTTGGCTTGGCAAGAGCTGGCAAGAGCGGCAGAGTGATGGAGGGCAGCCAGCGAAATACTCCCTGAGCACCACTTCTATGAACTGTGCTTCATCTCACTGCTCTCCTCGGGGCTTACCCACAACGTAGCTTTCCGCTGCTAAAATGTGCATGCTGGCAATTCACTGACTGTGCTGGCCTTTTTATCTGGCTGCAGGCCCTTCTCCTATATTGCTGAGAGGCACAGTGAATGGTGGCGTCTGGGCCCATCCTGCCACCCAGCCGAGCATCAGGATAGGGCAGGAGCCTTACTTCCTCCTCCAACACCAACACTCCCGGGCCAACTTTGACAGGCAGCCAGTAGCAACCACCTGACCCATGCTCCTTTGCACCTGCGGTTTGAAGTAAAACCGTGTAGCTGAATGCAACCGACAGCTGATTGTGGGTGCTTGCTCTGGAGATCCTGGCAGCCCTTGCAAAAGGCACACAGGGGCTTACAGGTGCCACCAATTGGCTGGTTGGTGGTACCTGCAAAACCCGGTTTCAGCCATGAGCCTTATTTTCATCTGCCCCATACCCCTTATGGTATATGATGTCAGGTAGGCTTGGCCAAGTATCAAGAGGTTTCCTACAGTTGGTCTGCAAAAACTTAACATTTGGAATGGATCTTGCAAGCCACCCAGCCCAACCTTTGGCACAGCATGGCCACCCAGCCCCTGTTTAAATGCCCCCTCTACTGGTCATAGAGTACATCCCATGTGCAGAGGTAGCAGAGACCACCAGGTGCAGAGGAGAAACAAGGGAGGAATGCAGCTGCCTGCATTTGTTGCCTATGGCATTGGGCTGGCCTTTATCCAGCCAGACACTTTCAGGGGGAAAGGGCTAACGGAGCCTTGTTCAGAGATATCATCATATGAGGAGCCTGGAATAGCTCAGTCAGTAGAGCAGGAGATTCTTAATCTCATGGTTGTGGGCTTGAGCCCGTTGGGCAAAAGCTTCTTGCATTGCAGGGGGTTGGGCTAGATGACCCTTGTGGTCCCTTCCAGCTCTACAATGCTTTGATTCTATGATCCATTGCCGTCATTAGTCCTGCAGCACTGTCAGGATCAGGCATGGGTTGGCAGACTGACGCAGGAGGAGAAGGAAGAAATGGGGGGAGAGGCTGAATGGGGAGAATCTGGGTTGGATTCCCGTCTCCAATCAGATTTTGGTAATTTTGGAAGGGGGAGCTCTCCTCTCTGACCTGAGGAACAGGGAGCCACAGTGGAGGCTGGGGAGCACTTTGGACAGCTGAGAAGAGGAGAGGCTGGACAGGAGGCGGCTGTGATTACACAGGAGCCTAAACATGGAGAGTGCAGCCGTGTCGCCCAGGACCAGGTGCCACCTCCACAGATGGGAGCAGACCCACCCCCTTCCAACAGAGTGCACACCTGCAGTTCTGATATTCCCGTAGGGCGAGAAGGTCACCAGAGTGAACACATGACATCTTGTCCATGAAAGGTGCTGGGAGGGGCAGGAAAACTTGTTGGGACATCTTCATTGCTCCCTTCCAGGTCTCAGCTCCTTGCTCTGCTACAGAACTCCTGAATTGTGATTCCTGAGTACTGTGTTTGCTGCCGAGCCTGTCCTGTTACTTGCCTGAATAAATATATCCTGCTTACTTACAAGGAAGAGCTTCTGTCTCTCTGTGCTGGGAGGGAGCCAGGACACTTCCACACAATACAAGAATCAGGCTGCAGTGCAGTGGCACCTACATTTTCATCCTTTTCCATTAAGGTATTGGTCATCTCTGTTGTCTTTTTTGGTGCCTACTGAAGACTCTCCTCTTCCAACAAGTCTTTTAAACGGAGATATTTGATCCGAGTCTACATCTATTTTAAAGCTGTTTATGTATGGTTTTTTAAAGTTTGTATTGTTTTGTATGTGAATTTTTAATTTTAATTTTTTATATATGGAACGTTTTGAACTTACTTTTACATTTATTCTGTTTTGTTTTATGTAATTGTATTTATTTTTATAATTAAATATTTTACTGTTGTAAACACACACCCCCCCCCCCGGGTCTTATGAGTAGAGGGTGGGCAAGAAAGCTTCTAAGTTAATAAATAAACAAAAGAGCAGGGCTTTTTAATCTCTGGCAGGAAGATGGGCCTGCAGGACTGACTATGGGGTGACCACTGCAAGGGCTCACATGCAAGCACAGAATCCTACAGCCAGGGTGAGGGCAAGACATTAGGTCTGAAGTGCCCTGGGAGTGATGCAATCACAATGGCTGGGGATGGAAGGATCAGCGTGATTAAAAAAACTTTTCTGGATTAAGCAATACCCTGCATTGGACCTCCTCCAGAAACTATGGGTAGCCTGACTGAAGGGGTGGGTCTCTCCTGCATAAGCCATTCGCTGGACGTCAAATGCAGACCAAACACACTGTGAGCACCTATAACTGGGCAAAGAGAGAACGACGGCCTCCCATAACTCTAAGGTAGCTATAGCATATTTGACTTATTTAATTCATTTTCAAAGTATCTGTCTCACTCAGCAGCAAATCTATAAATCATTGTCTGCAAGCCGACTGTCTCATTTAGATGAAAGCCAAGATTCCCTGTGAGTTTGGGAACCAGAACTTTAAGCAGATGCCTAAGAATCAGAGCCATTAACCTTCACTCATGTTTAAATACGGCTACTTCTTTATTGTTTGGGGGGGGTGCGCGCACACACATCTGGCCTGCTTCCACCCTAAGGAACAATTTGTGCCCCCAATGAACCAAAGGCTCTTGTTTGTTCCTGCAAGTGCCCAACCCTCACTTGATGAATGGCTGTATGGGAGTATGGATCCAAGAGGCATTTAATGAAATTGACCGAGGCTATGCACTAAACCACAAATCACCTGTCACCCAGCGAAAGCAGACACTTGTCCTAATCAAGAACAGGCCACTGGCATGAGATGTGACCATATTGCATCACATGACCTTCTTTAACCCCTGACAATGGGCATCGATCCTGAACAGTATAAGCACCAGGGCCATAAAGTTGCCCTTTCAATTACTGTCACTGGCAATGCGAGGCTCGAAGAGCCAAGGCGCCACAAATCATTAAGCAAGTGCAAAACCCCACTGAGGATAGCAGTGCAATAAGTCAGCGACTTTTAAGCTGCTGGTTACAGGACTGGTGCCCATCCACAGGCCGTTAAGAGAAATTTGCAGACGGTTCTGCTAGCATACAGGAAGTCATATTTCTTTGGCAACAAACACGACTCTCACTCCTGGATCCAGATACTGTCTCTCACTGCTGGATGGATGGGACTTGAGTCCTCAGGACTGTGTAAAAGCAATCCCTCCCCTCAGCGCCCCCCTCTGCCCCTCATTTCCTTTCCAATTCCTCCCCTTGCCCCACTCCCCAATTGATAAGAAAACCTAAACCATATAAAATCAAGTATGAGGCATTTAAACACCCAGAATGTGAAGTTTCTGATCAAAAGAACTTTTGGCAGATGGAAGCAAAATCCTACAAAGCTCCATAAATTACAACACACGAAACAACTTCCCTTCTCTGGTCCCTGAAGGCATTAATGATGGGTTAACATGCGTTGAAAAGTCGGTGTCCCTTACAATCCTTTAATTGCCTGTGATTGGTACACAAAAGTCAACCCCACCCAACTGAAAACCAGACACAGGTCTACAGAGGCCCTCACTCCATTCAGGAAAAACATGATTTCAAATCTCCAGACACCAACATTAAACCTTTTTTTAAAACGCTTAGGTAACTTGGCAGCTGGGTTTAGGTATTAAGATTGCTTCTATAAGGGTTCCTCCATATGACCTATCCATTCAGCATTCATCCTTGCTTGCGTGAATAAAGGTTGGATTATATCTGGTCTTTACTGAGAATTTGTGCTGAATTGTTTGCGGGGAGGTTACATAACAATGAGTATTCATCCTGATTTGCTTCCTTTTACTCATTTGCTCACCCCACACTTTGCAATGCAATGCCTGTCACTTTCCTAACTGCAAAACAGTAAGTTTCTTTTTTAATGTGGATTTGTTGTGCCAGGGCAACAAAGCACTTTAATAATCCACTTTAATTTTGCAAACCTTTCCCAAAATACGGAGTGTCTGGAGGCCTCTTAACTCTTCCAAGTTTCCCACTCCATTTGCTCCTCACTCACTTGCTTTTGTCACCAGCATCCTGCTCGTCCATCTCATCGGCACTGCACGTGGCACTGGAGTCGCTGTCAGGATTTGCTCCCTTCCCAGCTTTGTGGTTCTCCTTCTTTTCTGCTTTGGGTGCTCCCTCAGCCCCTGTCACAACACTGCTGCTGCTGTTTTCTGTGACCTGGTCACTGTCCTTCTCCTGGTAGACCTCTCCCTTCTCCATTTTTGTTTCACCCCTGCTGGGTTCTGGGCTCTTGGGCTTTTCCTCGGCCTCCTCCGTTTTCACCACATCAACTGTTTGCTCCGCTTGTGGCTTCTCTTCAGTGCAAGTTGGTTCAGGGGCCTCCTCCTCCACTGCTTGGATGGTGGCAGGATTTGCTTCTGGGGAACTAGCGGTTTCCTCCATCTTAACAGCCGGTTCTTCTCCAGCACTGCTTCTGGTGTCTGGGGCTGGTTTGGGTCCATTCTCTGTGCTCTCTTTGGCTTCTGGTCTTGGAGAAGGGAGGCTCTCTGTGTCTGAGCTATTATTCACCGCAACTGGAATTAGAAAAACACATTAAGAACACAAGATCAACCCAGCTGGGTCAGGCCAGTGGCCCATCTGGTTCTGGTTCTCAGAGTCACCAACCAAATGCTTATGGGAAGCCCACAAGTGCAACAGCCCTCTCCTCCCCGCCAGTGTTTCCCAGCAACCACTGCTTCCGACAGTGGAGGGAGCACTCAGCCATCTATCCTGGTAGCCACATTATTTTCTATTTACTTGGTGTGGTAGCATTTGCTGTGCCCAAATAGTAACACATAAAGCTATGAGCCCCCACCCCACATCCCCAAGCTGATTTATTTATTTTTTAACAGTCTGAACAGGGCATGGTGCAAAGCTAGAAATTTGACAGATGATTTCCCTAAACTGCATTGGGTGCATGGCATACACACAGAGTGCAAATCTTCTTTTCTATGCACCTAGTATTATTATTTATTATTATAGACAATATTTTAAAGATGGAATTTTCACCACAGATACATTCAAGGATATGGTCTTGACACCTTCTTTTGAAGCAGCCACACACACACACACACACACACACACACCCTCCCCCCCACCTGTATACCACACTTAATCACAGCACATATTTTTACACAATATACACCTTCCCAATGCTACACATGTGAACACGACTCATCTAGAATGATTTATAAAAATGTCTTGCTTGTGCTAGACTGTCTGCAGACTTACAACTTAAAAATATATCCAGGGCTACAGCTGTGATAACACAAGGAACTGTCCAAGCAGTTTGCTTAAAAAGGACCTAATCAATCAATGTCTCAAACAGAAGGTTGCTCTCCTATAATCACTGATAATCAATAGGAAACTTAAACTACCCCTCACTTCAAGTTCTGTACTCAAAATCACTAATATGGTCTAGAATCTCTCTCTACTTCACCTACAGGAAACCACTGAGGGAGGCGGAACTCTGCAATGCTTTATCCAAGGGATGGCCACTTGGCTGTCTACTAGCTGGATCCATACCCCAAAGGAATATAATTTACCCACTGGTTACCGAAGGTGTCGTAGAAGTTTGGACCATCACTTTCACTAGTGAGGGGAAGGGTTTTTATTTTTATAGGTATAGGTTGAATACAATGCTAGTCCTACTCAAAGCAGACCCATTGAAATGAACAAAAATGACTAACTGAGGCCTATTACTTTCAGTGGATGTACTCTGAGTAAAATTTAGTTGAATACTGCTGGAAGTGTCAGGGTACAGCTCCATGTACACTGTAAGCTGATGTACCTACATGAGAAAGGGCAGACAGGAGGAACTGCCAAGCCTCCTAGACTGTCCTCCTTAACACCTTCCTTTGGTGTTAAGATGGGTGCTCTTAGGGGAGGGTGGCCGTATTTCAAAAAGTAAAAATCTGAATCTGGATATTTTTTTTTGGCAAAGTTGTTGAGCTTTTATGGCAAAATTGCAAAAAAAGTTGATGTTTTTGAGCTATTTTTATGGAAATTGGCAAAAACGACCCTGCCGACATGGGTTGCCATATGTCTGGATTTTCCCAGCCATTTTGCTGATTTCCACCTGGACACTGCTTCCAACTTGAGTATTCTGGATATGTCTGACCTGGCCCCACCTCCTCCTCCATGAGACATACTTGGAGCTTTCTCTTGCTGAGGTGAAAGAGAGGCATGGCTTCCACCTTAGACAGTACTAGATCTTTCCTATCAAACATGTATTTCCTGTAGTAAGCATAGCTTTCGCATTTTGCAAATTCAGGGCTCATCCCTATTTCCTTTTGTGCCATGCTTTCTAGGTACCGGCACAGGATTTCCAGGTCTGAATCGTAGAATTGTAGAGTTGGGAGGGACCAGGAGGGTCGTCAATTGTAACTCCCTGCAATGTAGGACTCTTTTGTCCAATGTGGGGCTTGAACCCATGACCCTAAAACTAGAGTCTCATGCTCTACTGACTGAGCTATGCCAAGTCTGAGCGGTAGTTGCCCCCTCCTCTCACTTTCCCTTGGAAAACCCATGTTTTACCATTGAATTGGAGCTAATCTGCAGAAAACCCAATTGCAGTTTGCTCTGATTTAGCGGTAATATGTGGGTTTTCCCAGGGAAAGCAGTGGAAGTTAAAAAAAAAAAAACCCTGCTTGGACACAGAGCTGGAAATCCCAGACCTGTGCCTTAAAGCGTGGCACAAAAGGAAGTCTGGATGGGTCCTTAGTCTCAGTGTGATTATATCCAGGGAAACAGATGCTTCTCCAACAGAGATCCTGCTGAGCATTTAAACTCCGAATGCCATCAGGTGTGTGAGAGAGTAATAAAGAGTTCCACACTTGAATGTTACATCTCCATCTGGCTTCTGCATGGGATGACCCTCGCATGTCTGAGTGCTTATGGCTCATAACTGAGCAGTCCTTACTGCAAAGTGTTGCCTCTGTCAGTACAGAGCCTGACTACCCAGGAAGCGGTTGGCTTGTATGACAAAATATGCTTCAGAGCCCTGGAACATTGACTAGAGAAGAAGACATCTCTTGAGCATACTGAAATGGGCCATCTCTGCCTAAACAAAATTTTCTTTTTCTTTTTTTCAAATAATTTTTTATTAATTTTCCAACACAATTATACAATTTTGTCCAAATTTTAACAAATTAATTCTTTTCGGACTTCCTTCAGCTTCTCTGATAATCATCCATAATTATTCTTCAGTACGCATTCCCTTCGTTGTATTGCCATTTGTCTTCCCTCCCCTTTCTATTTCTTTTTAACAATACATCTTAAACGTTTACAGTGCTTCTTGAAACCCCACTAGCGTTGTTTGCACATCACATACACTTTCATCAAGACAAAACAACTGGGGTCTAAGCAGTCGTGATTTGTTGAATAGGGAACAAGACACGTGCCCACAAGTTCCCCCTTCCCCATTATCACATCCCTTAATTCAATACTTCCCAAACTGGGAAAGTATGGTTGAATGATCACTAATAACCAGAATATTAAATCACAGTTGGATATCCTGTTTTTAGGGATCTCTCAAGTCACAATGCTTGTTGTTCAAACACATGGGAGATAAAAGTTTAAGAAACCCAGAAGTATTGATTTGAACACACAGGGAGAGAGGTGTGGAGGTAGGTTATGAACCAGAATTGTTATTTCTGAATTAAGCCACTGACCACGGTGTTTATAGGTGCTAAGAGCACATTGCCTCTTGGATTTACTTCAGTATTTGTCTTATGAAGATTCCTTAAGGTTCATAAGATACCTTCTAATACCCACTGAATAGTTTAAAACTGAGGAAGAATCTGGTGCAGGAGGGGGAGGTTACTGTCAAAGTCACAGACTTAGAAAACTAGAGTATATGAATTTGAAGCTAGGTAGGTGGACATCTGCATATTTTAGCCATCTTTGTGTTTGTGAAATGGGCGGGGGGAGGAGAAAATCTCTTCCATAAATTTCTCATTCTCTCCAAAAAAATTCCAGTCTGTTCTGATGGATCTTAGTATGTTTCGCCTAGAGAGCAAGATCTCTCCATGTAAAAAAATTAATAAAAATAATTCAGCCTCCTCTGAACCTCAGTGAGGCAGTGTTTGTGCTGGCTGCAAAAAACCCGCCTCCCATCAGACCATCTGTGAAGAAATCTAGGGAGCCTTCCAATATCCCCCCCCCCCCCAATCTAGTCAAAGAGAAGGGAAAAACATGTCAAGGTCAGTAAGAAATTAAATAAAAAAGAATCGGACAAACACCTTCCAAATCCTAAGGACCAGGTTAATAATTAAAATGTGAAGAACTGCCTGGAAATCTTGCATTCCCCTAAAATGGAAATGCAGCTAACTATTAATAAAAGAAGAGCAAGATGTGGAGTCACTTTGTGGGGAGGGGCATGTTACATTGCTGCAGATTTGGCAAAAGATCCCCCCACTGCTGTTGTTGGCCAGAGTGAGCTGGTAAAACCTGTGTACAACAATTCAGACCCGACTGAGAGATACTGTTAGAGAAAGAAGTGTGTGTGCCTGGATCACACCTCACAGAAGGGGGGGGAAAGCCTTTTTCAGCCTCACATCCACATTCCTTTGGGGTCAGGGGCACGTCAGTGGGGGGTGGGACCAGAGGCAAAAGCAACAAAAACTAAATTTTACAGGGTGTCTCTCAGAAGCTCTGGAGAGCAGCTGCCAGCCAATGTAGACATGAAACTGCTTCCATGTGCAGGCCTGTTAAACTCGTCTTCTTGGTAGTGGCTTGGTTGTGGGTCCCCCCCTCCAAAATGAAAACAGTTGCAGTAGCATGGAGAAGATCCTCTGGTGTGTGTCATGCAACTTCATGTGAGTAACAGTGGCCATGGGCCACAATCTGAAACAGAGGGCTCCCCACATGCTTGGGAACCGCTTCTACGTGAATGGGTTTTGCATGGACAAGTTAACATTTCAATGACCCAGCCACTTGCACAGGGACAAACCGCTTGGGTCTTAACGGCAGAATCAGCACCCTCCCTGGATGGGAAGGCGCTGGTTCCCCCACAGAAATATACGTAGATGGCTGCGGTTGGTCATTTCACCACTACCCTAGTCACACAAGGTCCACTGCTGTGTCCCCGTATTCCTTTCCCCCACCGCACGGACATGCCACAAAGAGATTTCGATATACTTTATTAAATTTCTCTTGTTTGTTTCGAGTGTAGAATCTGGAATTTCTGGCACAGCGGAAGAAAAGCTTATGGTGTATATCTTTATATATCCTTTTTGGCTCACACAAGAAGTTTCTGACCTCTGGTGGGGTGGAGGGGACTATGTTACATGCTCCACCCTAACTCTGGGATCGCATCCAAGAAGGGAATTGTAAGGATGGCAGAGTGAATTTGAGTGTGTGCTTTAAAATGGAGATTTCAGCAAATGTTGCCATAACTAAAGGAGAAAGTGAGGCATGAAGCCAGAATTCTGGACCGGGGCGGCGGGGAGGAGAGATGACCTCATCACAATCTGCAACATTCAGACATTTCCAGGTGCTAAGGGATCTGAATATAGAGTGAAGCACTCATGGGGTTTAGGGATTTTGTCTGAAAGTGTACTAGGTGGGGTGGGCGTAGATTAAAATACATTCAAAAATGGTTATATGCAGAAAGAAAGTCCCCACATATCTTGTGAAAGGAATGGAAGTGCTTTTGGGGGGCTATGCTGGATTCCTACAAAGTGGAATAGTATCCGCACAGCCTGGGGATATCTCAAAGCATTTCACATTTTTTGGCCTCTCCAACCAAATTCCAAGCATCACTGGAGTTTATTTACTTGCCATGCAACTGTGAAAAAACCAGTCCCTCGCTCTGCTCCAAAAGCAGACAATGAGGAAAGAATTTGCAGCATTTAGGCTGGGGTGGGTTTAGCCAAAATGCAGCTGCAGGGAATATATGAGCCTGCTTCTATTCTCAGTTCAGAAAGGATTGTAGGTTTGGGGGTTCAAACCATAAAACTTTTTTTTTTTTTTACTTTCCTTCCCAAGGCAGTGAAGCGCCAGGGTGGGGTGATTGAGAAGATGTTGGAAATCCCATGGAAGAGGCAGTTGATCAGGAAGAACAATGCAAACCAACCATGGGAAAGAAAGCCAGCAGTGCATTTGAGCGAGGCTGGAAAAGTCCTGGTGTGATGAAACCACCTCTAGGCCTTTCTGAATGCACACATGCGCACACACGCACACACCCTTGGTATTCACTACACTGAAATGCCTCCCAAATGTCAAATGACAAACTGCTGAGGCAGAAGGCTGACCTGACATTTCTGCTCCTGTGACATTTTAGCCACCTTGGCTCAAAGGTCTGTTCAGTTTCATATCCCATTCTGGATAAGACAGTTATCCCTGTGCCTTGCCTTCAAGTTATATAGAACTGAGGTTGCAAAGCTCCCAACCCTGTCAGAGCCTTTTGGGGTGTGTGAGGAGCATATGAAAGATGTCCTCAAAATCTGAGCCTACTCTTACAATTTGAATCTGGATGATATGCACTTTTCCTCACTGCTATCTCCCAGCCATGCCTGCTGCCCTGACACAGAAGATTTACCTGGAAACTGTTTTGCAATGAGTCACTTACAACACTGATTTGAAAAGATTTCCAGTTGCGCATGCCATTAGCCCCTCACTCCAGTGCCAATGAGGTTTTGTGTGTGTGATGTTAAATCACTCCTACAGAAGTTAAATGGGGTGACTATTATATGTTACACACACTTCTCCTAAGCTTGCTGGCTCTGCTCCCGAGTGAGAAATCACTATGGCTGAGCATTTTCAGTTCATCCTCTCCCTGCTCCCTCCCTATTTCTTTCTGGTGCCAACTGGACAATGACATTGCTTCAGTGGAATGGGGAGATACCACAGCACACTCCACTTACTTACTGATCGTCCAGTGGCTATGAGGGCCAAAATCAGATGTTGCACAACTGCCAAATCAGCCTCACAACTTCCCTATTCCCAAACTCTCGAACACCTTATATGTGTTGAGATATCACAGTGCTGTGTCTCTGTGTGTTTTCTCCCTCTTTCTCATGCCACACACTGCTCACTGGATGCTGCTGGTGTGTGGGGAACATGCTGTGTTGCAGCTTTACAACACAAGAAAGTGCTAACAGATGTTATGGAGGGAGAATCAAGGAGCTAGATGTGCAGCTGCTGTTGCTAGGGGGGCAGACCTGTGTACAGTGTAATGTTTAGTCTGGGCCTCAAACATTCAGGGGCCAGGAAGGGGGGGGGAAACACCCCCCCCAATCAGGAGAGACTGCTAAATAGATAGATAAATTGCAATGAACAGAAGACAAGCCAACAATCTGAACGAAGAGAGGACACCGCTCTGGGTGTGAAGCTGAGAGGGGGCACTGGCCTAGCTGTGAACAGCACATGCATGTTTAGATGTATGGGTTTCTTGGTTGATGCCCTATTTCCTAAAATAAACAAACATCCGGTCAGGCTCTGCAAACAAGAAACAGCATCTTTGTGAAGGCGCCT